ATATATATATATAAATGAAATTTAATCCAGAAAAATTTGTTAAAAATAAAAAAGGTAAAAAAATCTGAATTTGGGAAAAAATCTAATAGATTTCATAGGGACCTAAAAAATGTCATTTTTGTTAAACTTTTAATACATTGTTGTTAAATTGTATATGCTGTATATGTCTAACCATTAAGACAGAATCCAGAAACATTGAAATTGACAACAGAATGTCCTGCATGTGTTCAACGATCTCACCTCACAGGTGTTGTGCAGAGCGATGGTGTTTGTTCCTCCCATCATGATCTCAGACGTGTACTCATCCATCGCACGCTTGCTGTCGCCCACATAGGGCACATATTTAATAACCACCTGCTCTGACAGACCACAAACCGAATCAGTGTCTTTTCACTCAGTCAGACATTATTTATGCATCGCAGCAATCTTCTGATTCAGATATCAGAGCTGATCTACAGTACAGTTCAGAAGACTGGGGTTGGTAGAATTTCTAATGTTTCTGAAAGAGTCTCTTCTGCATCAAAAATACAGGAAAAATGTGAAATATTATTACAATTTCAAACAGCTGTTCTCTATGTGAATATCTGTTAAACTGTAATTTATTTCTGTGATCAAAGCTGTATTTTCAGCATCATTACTCCAGTCTTCAGTGTCACATGATCTTCAGAAATCATTCTAATATGCTGATTTGCTGCTCAAGAAACATTTCTGATTATTATCAACGTTGAAAACAGTTGTGCTGCACAATATTTTTGAGGAAACTGTGATGCATTTTATTTTTCAGGATTCACAGATGAACAGAAAGTTCAAAAGAACAGCATTTATTTGAAATAGAATCTTTTGTAACGTTATAAATGTCTTTACTGTCACTTTTGATACATTTAATGCTTCCTTGCTGAATTGAAATAAATAATAAAAACTCCTACTGACCCCAAACTTTGAGCAGTAGTGTATGTAATATAATGTCAGACTCACGCAGTGGTCGGGCTTCTCTCCGGCTCGGTACAGTATGGGGTTTGACTGCACCATGTCATCCACAACGTTACTCTTAATATAAGAAATATTTAATATTATTTAATATTATTTTAATGTTTTTAATAATATGCAATATAGAATATTTCACATAATACAAAATGTATAATATAATATAATATAAATAACAAAATAATAATATATAATTTATATATTATAAAATATAGAATATTTTACACAATAAAATTAATATTTAATATTATTTAGATGTTTTTCTAGAATATACATATGCCACTTTTCAGAAATACAAAAAAATAAAACAGAATTTGGGAAAAAATAAAATGGATTTTATAGGGCCCTAAAAATGTCCTTCATGTTAAACTTTAAATAAAGTTGTTAAATTGTAAAAGTTTCATGATTTCAATTAACTACACATGCTTTTTGATTACTAACATTTAATTGCATTATTAAAACAGAATCCAGAAAAATTCAAATGCAAAAAAATAAAAAATAAAAATAATGAATATAGTAAAATTAATTGCTTTTTGTTAGTTAACTTTAGTTAATGCATTAACTAAAGTGTCCTTATTGTAAAGTGTTACCTAAATTATATTTGTGCTATATTTATTGTTTAAAATGAAATAATGCATGTGTAATGTTTCAGATGTTTAATGTGTTCCTCGCACCTTGATGCCAGCGCTGATCAGGAAGTCCACCAGCACAGACTTGAGTTTGGTCTGTCCGGATTTGAAGTCGTCTCCACCGATGAAGACGCCGCGCTGGAGGGCCAGATCCACGGCTCCGGGGACAAAGGTGTTCTGCGGCGAGCCGTTAATGTAGGCGCAGCCCTCCAGAACACTGGCCACCGCAAACATGGTGGAGGGAGAGACTTCACGCCCCATCTGAGACACAAACACCACAGAAACCATCAATACAAGCCTCTCTGACTGACACTGACACTGACACTGACGTGTCTTGCTATTTTTTTAAAACTTTTAATAAATTGTTAAATTGCATAAGTTTCATTATTTCAATTTATTAGACATGCTTTTGGAATTACTGACATTTAATAATTAAAACAGAATAAAAAATAATAATAATAATAATAATAAAAACGGAAAAAAATGGAATCTTTCAGAAATATATATATATAAAATTGTTTTTTTGTTTTTTTTTTTCATCCAGAAAAAAAAAAAGTAAAAAAAATTTTTTGGAAGAAAAAAAAAAAATTTTTTAACATTTCATAGGGCCCTAAAAAATGTAATTTTTGTTCAACTTTTAATACATTGTTGTCAAATTGTATACGTTTCATGATTTCAGTTGAATAGACAAAGTTTTTTTGATTATTAACGTTTAATTTAACCATAAAGACAGAATCCAGAAAAATCAGAATGGAAAAAAATTAAACGGAATCTGAGAAAAAAACAAAACAGATTTCATAGGGCCCTAAAAAATGTCATTTTTGTTCAACTTTTAATAAATTGTTGTTAA